TCCTCCTCCTCCTCCTCCTCCTCCTCTTTCTCCTCCTCCACCACCTTTTTCTCCACCTCCTCTTCCTCTTCCTTCACCTCCTTCTCCTCCAACTCGTGAATATTGAGTACTCAGTTGTGGGGAAACTAGTGTTGGGCAATAGGTCCAGCTCACTAGTAAAATCTGGCAGACCTACATAAATAACCACCTTCTGTCTGACAGGTCCGACAAATTACGGGTTCTCCACTTGAACTCTGCTTTATACTAATATGACTTGGTAGTTATGCTAATAATATTTTACAAGAATTAATGTAAATGTGGCCACTAAATAAAAGGTTTGTGTACTGTGTGTATATGTTTATAGAGCATTGTTTTCTCTATTGCAGCAGATGACTTGGAGCAGACATTATTAAGTTTTGAAAAACTGGACCGCTCTTCCCCAGACCTGTGGCCAGAAAAAAGTACGTTAATAATAATAAACCCATGAAATGTTACTATATATAGACTGAGGGCGAGAAAGAGAGAGAGAGAGAGAACGAATGGCGTAGAAATGAGTTTTTGTTTAAAATCATTCAAGAGATCTTATTTTATCCATTAGGATTCAATAATTCCATTATTTACCTTTATTGGCAGAAGAAGAGAAGTTATGTTTTGCTTCTCCATTGTTATATATTTTCATTTGTTTTTTAGTACCAGGAGTGTCAGAATTTGTGGCAAGCCATAGTGTGAGTATTATATCACTAAGTGACATTTAGTGATTTGCCATAATAGAAACAAAATTCTGTTTGACGAATGTCATCATAGATATTCTACTGGCAATAATGTGAAATGATTCACTGAGATAACTATATGTGATTGTAAGTGCAGCTATGCAGCTAGTGGTATAGTTTTTATAAGGAACTGGCTCTTGCATTTGTTATTTTAGCGCACATGCACTCACGCACGCACGCATATATAATGAGAACAGATATATGGACTTTTTTGAATAGTAATCAGTAAGTAGTCAATGTGTACAATACATGCTTTTCATCTGCTATTGCAGCCTTTGTCTGAGCACTGTACCCCACCGAAATGGCTGCAGGATATTGACGAAGACGACATCAATATGTTGCAAGGTACGGGCATAATTTGTGTATGTATGTGCGCGGGCGTGGGTGTGTGCCTGTGCACTTACGCGTGTGCATGTCTGCATCGTCATCTTCTCGTAACATCAACCGTTTGTCCCTGCCTCCGTTCCTAAGCTGAAATACAAGAGTCCGTTGTCACAAACCTTATAAATATAGTTATGATGCTATGAGTCTAAAATGCCCAAAAAAATTAAGTGAAGTGTGATGTAAAAGTTGTGGCAAGCTATAACTTATAATAGTCATAACTTATTGTATTAACGTATGGTTTTTCTGACAACACCCTCTTTGCAAGTTCCTAAAGGTGTGTTGACCAATACCACAGATTAGCACATGTACTGCAAGTTTCTAATGAGGATACACTCTATACCACGTAGGCAAAATGACAAGCAATCTTTTTTTATATTGTGTTTTAGCATTTTGCTAGTATAATCATGCTGTGACTTTTAGACTGCGATGCCTGCTAAGAGGTGGCGCCACCGTGTTGATTATATTTTCGTTGTAGAATTCGGCAGCCTGACACCAGCAGGGCTGATTGACAAAGTTAAACAGCTGCAGAATCTTGCATACCAGTTAGGTCTGGAAGAAGGTAGTTATAGTATTAACATGAATTTTGTTAACATCACTTAAACAACTTAACTGTAGTGGAAATGTTCTACTCTTTACTATTTAGGTGTTCTAGTAACTATTATTGTGAGTTTATCATGCGCAAATCTCTGTTTGGTTTCAATGCTATCACAATTATCCGATGAAAGATATAAATGTAATTTCCATTATATGTAACGTGCATATTGTCATATAAAAGTCAATTGATATGAAGGTTGCCACAGATTACGTACCGCGTTTTATCAGAACTGGCTCCGAATCACGGGCACCTTCTAACACCAGAGGGAGTCACACGTGTTGTGTGGAAATTTGTCAGCAGTAATTTTCGGTGTTGGCAGAAAGATGCGATATGATATGACTACTAGGCACTTTATTATTTTTTTTTTTTTAGGGTTAGGGTTAGGTTTTTTTTTTTAAGTGCCTAGTAGTCATATCCTAAGTGCCTAGTAGTCATCATATCGCATCTATCTGCCGGGTGCTAATTTTCACTCCTTACCAAGTGTACACAAATAAAATGAATATATTATAGCATGACGATTCTTTTTAGAAATTTTGTTATAAAAACATTGAAAGCATCTATTGTATGTATCATTGTCAGCTTATTGTATAATTCTTATGTTGTTATGATATTTATATAAGGTTATGATAATTATATTTCTTTCAGCTCGAGAAATGACCAGAGGAAAATTCCTGAACATCCTTAATAAAGGCCGTGTCAAGAAGAAATAGATGACGTTTACTAGATGTCATCATAACCAGTGCATTACTTCATACAGTATTTATCATTATACAGTTGTTTGAGATTTTTTTGTATAATCTATCACGTAGTGCATTAAATTTTTTAAATGCTAGGGTTACATCTTAACAGGGAATGGATCATAGGTAGAAGTGAACTCGACCGGGCACTGAAACCGTTTAGGATAGGTGTTATTGAAATTTACTTGATTGATATTGTCACGTGTTCTAGTAATGCTGACTTTACTATATGACGTTAGTGACCAATTCATTTTAAGATGTGTCTCGTTTATTCACACTGAAATCTAATTGTACAAAACATTTTGCATGTTGAGTATGTTTGTTTCTTAATGTGGGAAAATACTTTATATGTAAAAATCATGTTAGAGTTACAAGTCGGAACCTTCTATAACAAGCCTAGGCGGTGCCCTGTGTTGGCTTTTATAGAGACAAGAGGATGTGACCCATATGCACTTCTCTCGGTGCAGTGGGATACTGGACAATAGTAGGGCAATCTTACAGTATTTACCTGCTCATGCTCGTTAGCCCAGCCTAATGTGTCATAGCTTCCTTTTTCCCCTTTCATCTTCTTCACCTTCTTATCCACTATCATCTTCTTCATCATCATTATCATCATAATCTTCTTCTTCTTCTTCTTCTTCTTCTTCTTCTTCTTCTTCTTCTTCTTCTTCTTCTTCTTCTTCTTCCTCCTCCTCCTCTCCTTAATCCTTTTTGTTGGGAGTACATGGCGCTATATGCTAGGAGTTGCATCCCTGCAGAATGTTATTGTAATCTGCAGACGGTGCTTTTAGCATTGGAAAGTTGACTTATCAGTATCATTCTTTCATGACTATTAATTCGGTTTGCACCCAGTTTTTTGTATGTTATGTATTTAAATGTTTACTGTTGTACAACTCGTCTCGCTGTGTGTATAGTTTCTTTATCATAATATTAAATAAAATGTTATAGCGTGACTTAGAGCACGAGACCTATTGCCTCTCAGTGCGTTTGTATTAATGAAATTGGCATAATAAATTCAGTCGAATTACTCATTAGTTTTATGGCTATGACTATCTCTGTTAATTGAATTTATACGCGCGTGAAATAGTTTTTAAGCTCGCCTAAACTGTATGACGATAGTAATTGAACAAGGGTTCCGTATTATTTGCTGGGACAGCTGGATAGACAGCTCTAACGCGTGTTCTGCGAGGCGGTGCTAGCTTGTTAGCCACGCCCACTTACCCGACTGAATTTCCTGATTAGTCGAGCCCGGCATCACGTGTCGATGAGGTAATTTCTATAAACAAACTCCGGCTCGCGTGTACAGTCATAGAGCAAAGCCGGCGACCCGTCTGTGAGTGAGTGATTTAGGTGCAATTTGCGAACAACGACTGTCCGTGTGTTGAAGAGAGTGCGTGAAAACTAAGCGACGAGCGATCCCAACCTGATTTCCTTCTTTGTGGTGTTAAACGCCTGAAAGAAGACGATCAACTAGTGATAAAAAATATTCATGTTAACGAATCTCCACACTCTGTTCAGACTGTTGTTCTCCCGCGTCGAAATGACTACGAAATAGTTCGATTAGAGAGCAACGCACGAAAGAGAGAGGTAAGTGTTTCGTGATGTCGCGTGAGATGTGCACACTAACTTGACCTAGTTTATCCTTATACTCATCGCGCTGACAGTGCCAGATAGAGTAGCACCTGGTATTCTGCGCGTGCGTCATAGCACTCCCCACACACACCCGCTTGTTATTGTTGGGGGGGGGGCGGATGTCGGTTACGTTTACCGATTAAAGATGTAAATGTAGATATTTCGTAGCGAAATTTCGCGATGACTGTATTTACCTCGTATAGATATGCACCCCGCGTAAAATGAGGGGACGCGTTTCGCTCGCTGCAAATAAATTACAATGGGGACGATGTGGCCCCTGGATGTGAACTGTGCATGTTCATGCAAGTCTCAGCCGAGGATTGCGCAATACTGACAATTGCATTGTATGAAATTGCATTACAATTGTATTGTTGTGCGCGCGTGCGTTGACAGTTCCTAAATACAGGTTAACAGTGCACGTGCGTGTAATCATATATAATAATGTTTGGCTGTGTGTCGGTTACCATGCTAATTTCTTGTCGTAAATATTTATTAAATGAGTAGGCGATGAATTCGTTAGTCTCTGACGAAGCTAGTTATTATGATCATATTTTTAGACGGTAGACCAGGATATATATAATCTCACTGTCCACGCTACTTGCGAAACCAACGAGTGATCATGGAAATAGAATAAAACCAGAATAAAAATACGAGAAATCAAGTGAAATCATAGCACTCTTTCCTTTATTGTTGTTTGTGGATATAGTAGGATTACAGCTCCAGGCGGCATCTATTATAACAGACCCTACTACATCCTCATATTTCGACTGTTTTTCAACTCGCGTTCTCGCGTGCAAGCAGCAACGCGTGGAATATTGTAATCGCCGACACAGTGAGACGCGGTGACTAATCGTGACCTCGTGTGTATCATGGTAACCGACCCTATCATAGAGTTGTTAGGATACACGGCTGACGACGATGATGCGTGTAGGGTATACACGCGCTCTGTGGCAGCAGCACCAGCAGCACCTGCACCACCATCAGCAGCAGCAACAGCAGCAGCAGTAGCAGTAACAACAACGGCAACAGCAGCAGCAGTAGCAGCAGCAGCAGCAACAACAGTAGCAGCACCACCACCATCGGCAGCAGCAACAGTAGCAGCAGCAGTAGTAGCAGCAGCAGTAGCAGCAGTAGTAGTAGCAGCAGCAGTAGCAGCAACAGCAGTAGCAGCACTAGCAGCAGCAGAAGCAGCATTAGCACTAGCAGCAGCTATAAAACCACCACCACCAGCAGCAGCAGTATCAGTAGCTGCTACACGGTCGCCGATGTCGCGTAACTGTCGTGACGCGTGTGACAACGCTGGCGTCGCGTCGCGGACAAGAAATAATCGGCTTTTCATCGGCATGCATTCGCGGATCCGGTTGGCGCGCGGCGGGTGAGCTTAGTTCGGATACGCTATAATCAGATGCATGATGACCGTGCTCCTCATGCGCGCACTGCGGGGAGCGTGGTGCCCGCGGCGTCAACACGGCAGGCTGCCTCAAAATGATGCGCCACACGCTATTGTAGCGCGCGGACACGGGGGAGGGGGAGGGTTGTCGAGAAAGCTACTATGACCGGACGCACTGTGACGTGGGGGGGGCGGCTGTGACGGGGGCGGCTGTATTGGGCAGCCGTGAACGCGGGAAAGCAGGAGTGCATGCTTGTAGTAGGTGAGATATACGCGGTGGACCGCAGCCGCGGCTCATGGAAGATGTAATCATCATAAACTAATATATTATTCACACGCATATACTAATATATATATATATATATATATATATATATATATATATGATATATACGCAGACACGCACGCACGACGCATGCACACAAGCTCAGCCACGCATACATAAATTCGTGCGCATTCGCGTACGTAAAGTTATCGTGTGAGGATGTTATTGTCTCGCCGGTGCCGTCGTGCCAACCCCGCCGTGGTAGCTAGCTACACGACCCCGCCGCGGTGCCGCGCGACCCTGCGTGCTGCCGCACACGCGCGCGCGATACACACGCACGCGGCATTTGCCGCTGCCGCCGCGGCTGCTGCCGCTGCGGAGTCCCGCGCTAGCACCACATCGCCGCGTCTGCTGGGCCGGACGCGCACGCGCACACCAGCCCACGTCATCTCACGCACGAGCGCCTGCGCGCCGATTTTTTTTTCTGCGCCGATTCACTTTAATCAACGAAAATGGATAACGTTCTCGTGCTGCGGGCGAAGGTCTCGCGGTGATTAGGGCGTGTGTGCGCGCGCGTGTACGTGCGCGCGCGCGCGTGTGTGCGTGCGTGTGAGTGAGGCCGATGACGTTAAAGAAGGAGGGAAAGGGGGAAAGAGAGGCGGGGTGAAAGTGCACCAGGGAAAGGGAGAGAGAGACGCGGAGAGAAAGTGCCCGAGAGAAAGGCAGAGGTGGGAGAGAGAGCGCGCGCGTAAGAGAACCGGCCAATAGAGATAGGGAAAGACAGACAGACAGAAATTGAAAGGAAAAAAGAAAGAGAGGTTGGTATAGGGTGGGGAAGGGTGTGTGGGTGCGGGATATGGATAGAGGCAGCGCGAGACAAAGACAGTGAAATGTTTATTACGCGAAAGTAGCGTATTGAATATTGAAAGAATAATACGTGTATATTGGAAGAATAAATATTACACTCGACCACACGTCGCACAAAAATGTCCAATTTGAACGAGATAGAAGAACCCTGACCTCTATTGCATGTTATAAGCTCGATTTGCATCTTGTATAAACAAAATACGGACCACGATAAATCGCACAAGCTAACCAAACAATGCTGATTACATTGGCGTTTGCATAGGGATTAGGGAGGCGAAAATAACAAAATAACACCCGCGACTCACTCGTGAAATCAAATCCAGACGCAATCAACCAAAAAAGGCAATAAAGAAGCGATTGTGCTGTCCCGAAACGATTTTTATTGTGATAACATTGTACTATTCTGTTAGAATAAAAAGTGTAGCGTCCCTGGTTGGACTCGAACCAACAACCTTTCGGTTAACAGCCGAACGCGCTAACCAATTGCGCCACAGAGACGATGTGTTTGTTTCGCGCTTCTTCTATGCTTACGTGCTGTGCAACAAATTCCGGACATTGACATTTGTGTTTGTGAAGATATATGACTGTAAAAGGCAGTAGTGCAAGTGTGTATAAGTGATATGGTGATATCTATCACAGAGGTGGTCACAGAGGCGGCACAGCTATCTAGAGTGTGATGCCTGTACACACCACGGCATACTCCCGTTGTATTTTGAATTCAAACCTCCTACCAAGTACATGCACACGCAGGCTGTACAGTGTAGGGGCCTACCCTGAGAATGCGTAAATAAATGATTTTTATAATAATTTTCTTACTTAGACGAGTAATCACGAGTAACTTATTAACGAAGAGCGACGAGTGAACGCGCACACGCCCGCGCCACAAGGCATGCAATCACGCGAACTATGCGAGGCACACGCAGTATTATAACATTGTACTATTTTGTTAAGGTAAAAGTGTAGCGTCCCTGGTTGGACTCGAACCAACAACCTTTCGGTTAACAGCCGAACGCGCTAACCAATTGCGCCACAGAGACGTCATATTATGTGTTTTCACTTCTTCTATCTGTTTGCATTTCCTCTATGCTTACGTGCTGGACAACAAATTACGGACTTTGTCATTTGTGACAGTATCTGTGTTGTTTGTTTTTAAAGTTAGATGACTGTACAAGGCTGCGGTACAAGTGTGTATATGTGCTGTCTATTACAGAGGGACTGCTATCTAGAGTGCCTGTATACACCACCACATACAGCCGATGTATTTCGAATTTATGCTTCCTACCAAGTACGGCCCGGCCCGTAGGGTCTGTCTCCCTGACCTCTTTTTGACCTGGCTCGTTTAGCTATTTCTGACTAACCCTAACCCTAACCCTAACCCTAACCCCAACCATATCAGATAGTTACCAGGGTTAGGGTTAGTCAGAAATAGCTAAACGAGCCAGGTCAAACAGAGGTTAGGAAGACATATACCTTATCTGCCCAAGTACGCACGCACGCTATACAGTGAAACCTAAAAATTCGTGAATGAATTATTTTTATATTAATTAAACTCGGCGTACTGAGGCGCGACGTGTAAACGCGCACGTGTGCAAGCTATGCGAGGTACACGCGTTCGTATATAATAAAAAAAATCATAAAAATGTACATGAGTGTCACTTACACACATGTGCGTGCGTATTAAAATACGAAATAGACAAAGACGTGCGCGGTTTACACGCGGGGGGGGGGCAGCGCGCGCGCTGGATTTGCGACGAGCGCGCACGCACGCCGGCGAACGTGCACGGACACGCACGCGCGCTCGTCGCTACTGCGCATGCGCGGTGACGTCACCACCCACGTGTACATTGGCGTGCGTGACGCGCTCTCCATTCTGATTACAATCGTTAGTTCGGCTAAGCGACGTGGTTGGCAGCGCTAACAGCAGTAACTCGTGTACTCACTGCCCCCGTCTGCCTACCAACCGCCACCAGCAGCAGTAGCAGTAGCAGTAGCAGCCGCTAGGTGCCTCCTATCGCTTGACTCAGCTGATATAGCTGGCCACCGCGCATGTGTCATACGCGGCGTGCGCGCACGCATACCACGGCCGCAAAATCGGCGAAGAAAACTTCCCCGCTGAACTTTGTCTCGCTTAGTCAACGCGCGACCGGTGCAGCGATAGCACGTATAGTTTGTTATTGCTGCTAGCAACATTGTTACGCAACCGCTCTCGCAACACTTGTACACCATTATACTGCTACTACGCTGCTACTGTTATGCCATAGAGTGATTATCCGACCAGACTGCTATAGCTTTCGCTGTCTACGTACGCAGAAACGCAGGTATAACGTGGGAGATTTCTAGGAAGGAAAGAACGTCAACGAAACACGGAGAAAACTAGGAAACGAAGCCAGCAGCGCGAGTTATAGCGAAACGAATTATTCCAACTTTTTCTGACTAACGCATCGCGCGACCTCGATTCCGCGAAATGCGTGCGTAGGTGCTGCCACTCTGCGGCGTTGATAAATATTACCCCGTTTCATTTACAGATAGACGAGAGACGCTACAACCCACGCTTCGAACGTCGGCACGCGTTCACCGCCGGGGGAAGACAAGCCGACGACGACGCCGCCGACTCGTCATCCCATAATTTTCGCTCACATGAGCCGATCGGGCGGCAACGCTGGCGGAGCGAGTACAGCGAGAAATGGCGAGATCTGACGATCGAGATTACGATAGTCACAGTAGAGACAGCGAACACCCGTGCCGCACGCACGGCGGCACCAGCGACCCGACGCGAAAAAAGAAGAAGGACGACGAGGAGGAAGGGTCGAAGGAGGAGGAGGAAGAAGCGCTGCTCATTTACGGCGGAGAATCCCACGAGAGAAGGCCGTCGATCGGCGGAGGGAGAATTCGGGCCGACAGCCTCTCGGTGCTGAGTGAGTTGCTACGAGCGGCGCCCGGACAGCGGTCCACAAGTCTGATCCGCAGTCCGGCCAGACTGACCAGCGGTCGTTACCTGCTTAACTCACCCCCGCCGGTGAGCGACAGCGGCGGTGGCGGCGGCGGCTCGCCCGTACAGGACAGCGGCTACTACAGTCCCGCACTGCTCAGCATCGCACGACCGCAGCGCCGCGCCGCGTTCACGTTCCCGTCGCCATCGTCATCGTCGTCGTCGTCTTCGCCGTCGGCGTCCGACGATCTCGAACTGTTTAGTTTCGGTGGCGGCGACGCATCGCCAGACTTCCCGTCGTCGGGACAACCGGACTTCCTGCGGCTGCCGACGTTGGCGACTTCTCAGCGACGCGCGTCCGTTCCTATGGCTATGCCCGGTGCCGCACGCCGTCCGCTACATCCGCCCGTCGGCGGGTCGGCGCCGACGACGCCCGCCCGTAGTCGCTGCCGACCACAGCGCTGTTCGACGCCGGCGCGCGTGCACGCGTGGTCGGCGGCCGACGATTCGTGCTTCGTCGGGCCGACGGGGAATCCGTGTCGGTCGATATCGACACAGACGTCCGTAGAAGGCCAGCAACGCATCGCTGCCCGCAGGGGTGAGTACTTACTTATTTACTTACTTACACAGCTACACACCTCACCGTTATAGTCACACACGCCGCCCGCAGGGGTGAGTACTTACGTACACACCTACACCTCACCGTTATAGTCGCACACGCCGCCCGCAGGGGTGAGTACTTACGTACACACCTACACCTCACCGTTATAGTCGCACACGCCGCCCGCAGGGGTGAGTACTTACGTACACACCTACACCTCACCGTTATAGTCGCACACGCCGCCCGCAGGGGTGAGTACTTACGTACACACCTACACCTCACCGTTATAATAGTACCGTTACATATAGTTACTTACAGTTATTAGTTACACTTAGTCACCGCTGCTGATGGTCAATAGACTAAGACTAGGCGCTCGCTGCCAGAAACATAATAAATGATCATCTGATCATCGTCAGTCTAAAATGTCATATAACATCAAGAGCTAATAAACACCAGGTGTGTATTAGCTCTTGATAACATCTGGAGTGAAGTGTCGTGCAAAAGTTTGATACTTTATGACTAGGACTAGTCACTAGTCGTTTAGACTTACGGTAATCATTATTACTATTTACGATGTATCTGACAGCGAGCCCCCACAGGGATTTTGGAATAACTAAATATCGTTGTTTTTAAAGTACTATAGACTTTTGAGTAGAAGTATGAGCAGTACTTCTCGCGTGTGCGTAACGGTTATACGTCGGCACCCGATGCATGAGCGTGAAAGCAGCAGCTAGCTCCGTTTCAGCTGAAGTCCGCGCTCTGCGAACAGAATAGTGTTTCGCGTATTTCGCTTCCCGCTTTTGTTCTTCTGTTCTCTCGGCGCTCCTCCTTTTCTCAGTTTTTTTCCTCTTTCTTTCTCGGTCGTTTTGTCTTTTTCTCTCTTTCTAACTCGCGTGCGCGCGCGCTCTCTCTCTCTCTCGCACGCGCGCATTCTCCCTGTTTTTATCTCTCACGGATTTCCCTTCTCCACTTTTTCTTGTTCCTGCTATTCTTATTCTCTTCATTCTTTTCTTCGCGTCCCCATTCTCTCGTTACGCTATCATCCTAAATTTCTCTATTGTTTACATGTTTTGCACTCAGCCTCTACTCGTTCTCGCCCTCACTCCCACCATCGGCTGCTATATCACCACGTGCTTTTCCCGCTATCGACTGTACCCCTTGTTAGTTTCGCGTGTGGCGGGGATATAAAAGGTTGACGCTACGCGCAGTTCTCGCGTTCTCTCTCTTCCCTCTTCACTACTCTCATTCTCGCACACACTCTCGCTCTTTCTCTCGCGTTCTCTCTCTTCCCTCCTCACTACTCTCATTCTCGCACACACACTCTCTTTCGCTCGCGTTCTCTCTTCCTCCCCTCTCTCGCTCCTCTCGCCCTTGCCTTTCTCTCTCTCTCTCTCTCTCTCTCGCTCTCTCTCTCTATCGCGCTAATTACCGAGGAGGGATGCTAGTATGCACGTACGCACGCCTGACTGCATGCAGCAGCAGCAGCAGCCTGCGGCGGCAGCAGCAGCGGCAGAGCAGCATCGATGCAGGCGTCCGTAACGCAGCGTAACGTGGGGGTCCGTAATTGCTATTAATTCGGCCTTATCTCGATTGCGTATCGCACCCTGCGGGCGGCCCTACTGTCGTCTGACCCTCCTCCGCCCTCCGCCCCCACCCCCGCGCTACCGCTAGCCGCGCTTTAATGGGCTTTAACTTGCATGCGTGCGAAAGTTAAAGTGACAGTCGGACAGTTCACCCGCGCACGTGTGCGTGCACGTGTATGTGTGCTCGTGTGAGGGTGCGCGTGTGTTCGTGCACGTGTGAGGATGCGCGTGTGTGCGTGCGCGTGTGTGCGTGCGCGTGTGTGCTTGCGCGTGTATGGGTGCGCGTGTCTGCGTGCGCGTGTGTGCGTGCATGTGTATGTGTGCGCGTGTGTGCGTGCGCGTGTGTGCGTGCATGTGTATGGGTGCGCGTGTGTGCGTGCGCGCGTGTGTGCACGTGTATGTGTGCGCGTGTGTGGGTACGCGTGTGTGCGTGCGCGCGTGTGTGCACGTGTGCGTGCATGTGTATGTGTTGGCGTGTGAGGGTGCGCGTGTGTGCGTGCACGTGTGTGTGCGCGTGTGTGCGCGTGTGTGTGCGTGCGAGTATCTGCGTATGACCAGATACGGTCATCGGCGCGCGCAAGCATGTACGCACGCACGCTCAGACGCTTGTTACATGAACCGACACTTCTGCAGCGGAAAACTATTATTCTATATGACCATCTGAAGCTCTCAATCAAGCTCCTGCGCCACTCTGCGAGCGTCTTTCTGATAGCGTTTACGCGGCTCAAAATCGCGGCGGCGCCGGCAGCAGCAGCAGCAACAACAGCAGCAGCAGTAGCGGCAGCAGTAATCGCAGCAGCAGCAACAACAACCGCAGCAGCAACAGCGCGTACGCGCATGCATGCCCCAGACCAACACAGCAGACGAATCGATCCGGCGTGGAATCCCACACGCGTCGCACCTCCGATTGAACCTTTTGCACTCATTCCGATATTAATTTCTCGCGAGGCAATATTCAACCTGTGCGACGGCCGACGATATGATATGTTGGTATATAGGATTCGCGTTCGCTGGAGTCAGGAGAAGTGGAAGCTGTTGGCAGATTGCATCGTTGCATAATGACGCGCTGATGCTGTCACCACCATGTCATAGCGCCGCTTTACCAATTGCCTGTTAGGGATAATTAGGTTCTCTCATAAAATGAGGCACACGGAGCGTGAAGAGGGGGCAGGGGTGGGGGAGGTGTGTGTGTGTGTGTGTGTGTGTGTGTGTGTGTGTGTGCGTGTGCGTGTGCGTGTGCGTGTGCGTGTGCGTGTGCGTGTGCGTGTGCGTGTGCGTGTGCGTGTGTGCATGTGCGCGCGCATGCGCATGTGTGTGTGCGTGCGTGTGGGTGTGTGCGTGTGTGCGTCTGTATGCGTGTGCGTCTGTGTATCGTTTCCTTCCGAACCTTATAAAGCGCTCGTTTGCCACCGTCTCGTGCGCGGCGATGAGTCACGCGCAGCGCAGACGCACCGTGAGCGGGACGCTTGCCTTTCGAGCGCGCGTCCACTTCTCGCCTCCTCGTTTACACTCGTCGTGCTCCGACTACTAAGATGGGAGATACCTGCCCGGGTCCTTTATAGCACTATAAACGGGTGATTATGCCGTGGCGCCCGAGCGGTGGCTTGTAAAGCTGGGCGGCCACATGTCTACGCTATATCACACGATTCGACGCGCATGATAATGACGGCAGATAGAAATGATGGCTAGATTGACTTGTAAAAATTAATTCACGCGAAGCGTCGTGCGCTATATACATGAATACACAAACAATTAAATATTGAAGAATGAAAAATTAATGAATATACATATAATTATGTAGAGAGAGGGGTGAGAAAAAGAGAAGTTTGAATTAGTTTGTTGATTGATTTAATTATGTATTATTCACCACTTTGTTTGCCTATTTTTAAATATTAATATTTCAATAATTGATTACTCTATTTAGCTTTTAAAAGAAACTGGTCTATAACTAAACCAATGAATAACAGATAATATTTGTTTTATGAATAGCAGCAGAAACATGCACGCTTATCTGGCCACTTCCAGCGTAAACGGTTGATCGTTTACCTTAGCTAAACATGGCATATTGCCAGCTACCATAGCCAGGTACTCTAACCATGCTTTCCCACCAGACACAGTTATCAATGAGTCACATCGATGTACCGCCAATAGTAGTAAGGCGTAGGTTACTACGGCGCTTGTGGCTCAACCTGGTGTGAGATCTCGCAAAACGAGCGCGGCGCGTATATCTATCACTTTCACTTTCCCTGTCCGCGGTAGTTGACTGAATCCTTGACAGCTGTAGGCGGTGACGTATCGGGACGAGATGCGATTACGTAATTGCTCGTCTTTCCGAATATAATGGTCAGCCCGCACGCGACCGCGCATGCGCCCACCTGTCCGGCCACAGGTGTGTGTAATGGCGTTGCTTTACAAAGATAAACAGCGCATAATCAATTTAGATCATGTGCGCGCGGCGTGCTTAAGAGCTCATGCTGGTAGACAAATTTGTTATTTAAATCGTTATCGTAGATCCCGCACGCGAGCCGGCGTTAAATATAAATCTCAATTAACATTATTATTACAATCAGGCCAATCTCGCGCGGACGCGCACAATTAAACGCAATCAACAACACAAACATAAAAAAACACGCGGACGCGAACGCGTCGCCGGCTGAATATTTTATATCTATTTATTTTACGGCGTTTAAAAACCCGAAATGAATGAGATAGAAAGAGAGAGAGAGAGAGGGGCGAGAGAGATAGAGCGAGGGGGAGACGCCAAGCAAACAAAGAGGAGAAATAATTAAATTTTAAAAGCCCGCCCTGTCTATCGCGCGCGTGCTCGCGTCTCGCCGCGCTTTAAATTGCACAGCTATGCGGTGTACAGGTTGCCGTTGCTTACCTCGCGCTGACTCTGCTGCTTACCCAGATGCGAAGACTAAATTACCGGAGGCAGTAACTATGCGTCGTCTGCAAATAGAACATGACGTAATGTACTTGGGTAGAACACGTTACCACATGCAGGTGCGCGTGTGCGCGCGTGTGCGTACGTTGTGTGTGTGTGTGTGGTGGGGAGGGGGGTTATGTGTGAATGTGTGTGTGAGTGCGTGTGTGTGAGCCTATACGTACGTGCGTGTGTGTGCGCCTATACGTACGTGCGTGTGTGTGAGCTTGCGTGCATGCGTGCACCTGGCCCTCGATACGTGATCGCGCGGGTAAAGTACCGTTATAGCCGCGCGGACCGATCACCTATAGGGGGGCAGCACTGGCGCGGGGCAGGAAGCTGTCGAGAGCGACGCTATAGTCAACAGGTGGTGACAGGTCTACTAGCGCGAGCTGCGCGCCAGGCTGCGGCGGCGAGCGCTTGACAAGGCGACGCAGTGTGTGAGATGCAGCGAGCGACAGCTCCTCCGCTGCCGTGTCGCGATCGTCTGCAGTCAAGCAGTCGCGTCTGCATCTCTCCTACCGCGCGCGTAGTCTTCACG